AAAGTAAGGTACTTATGAATGAAATTTCATGCACTGAGTGATACAAAAGTAAAAGAAAATATTTTCATTGGCTCTCAGTTCAGGCAATTAATGAAAGACCCCAATTTCAAAGAATTCTTGAGTGATTATTGAAAAGGAGCTTGGCGGCGTGTATATTATTCCGGCCTCGGAAATCACATGTTTACTACGTAGAAAACCATGGAATGTTACAAGTATCTCAAAATACATTTTTACACACGCATTTAGACATTTTCCCCTCTGACGGAACTACCGATCAGAGCAACCGACCTCTATAATTCTCCTCCAGACGACGACTGAATTCGACCTACCGGCCACAGGCACCGCTGTAACATCAGTGGATGCACTAAGCTACCTCTCTCGGAATGAACAATGAGAACTGTCATCAACTCATAACATAAATAGAAAAAAATAAATGTAAAACGTTACAAACCAATTATTTAGCTGATGGGCTGATGAAACACAATATCCGTGTCTGAACCATAAGGATACAAGCGAAAATCATCCAGAAAACGTTGAAGGTGAGTGTCATTTTTATTTTTTCAGAATTAACTACAAATTAGTATATTACGCAACTAGTTTATAATGTTATAGTTTTTTGCATAAGTACGGGTTTTGAAAACGAGCGACATCAGGAGCGAGCTTTCAAATTCGTTAGAATGCAATGCAACAATCTTATAAATGAGTTGCATACGCTAGTTTTTTTTATAACAGTATTCATGACAAATTATCAGACTAACAAATTTTGAAAACATATTTCAAAAGCAATTCTTCAGTTTCGGGCCCTCTTCTCGATCAGGATTTTCGTCTAATTTCCATGTGAGGGGTTCTGGAGCTCAAGAAAACTCGTACAGAAAACATGTTCACCCCCGTACGTCACATACAGTATTTACTGTTGTTGTTTTTTAGAGGTAATTAAATGAAATTAATTCTGATAGGTCATACGTTACGACGTCGGTTTTCCCTTTTTGTTGATTGTGGCGCTGAAACTATCATATATGCAGGCATACCAGCCAAATTGGTATTAAAAACATTAACATTTTTGGGTGGCAATGGTGATCCTCATGGTCAAGCGCGGGTTTATGAATTTCTTTGAAACATGGAAGTTGGTTGTGACGACAGTGAGCACTAGAGTGAGGTTATAAATGTTAAAGACCTTCAAGAAGTATTAGAGAGTAGAGAGGCTATGCCTGTAATAACTCCTTACACTTACTGCGTCTCGAAGTTATTTCGTAAAGAGGCAGGTATTCGAATTATAAGTAATTTTTTGCATTCTTCATCACCGACGTTAATAGCTCGGAATGGATTGGAAAGAACAGTAGTCAGAAGTCGAGCTCGTACGTGTTTTCATTACCTTCTTTATTCGTCACAAAGTATTGAAACGTTGAACGTGGTTGAAAATGAAAATATTGTCCAAGTGCCTGAAGTACCTCAGGATATTTTAACGAAAGTTAAATACAATTGCATTTTGTTCGAAAAGACGATGAAAATGGGATGGTTTCAGAGAAAACGCTTTTTGGCACTGGAAGCGAGGAAAGAGCGGGAGAGAAAAAAAAATGCACCAGATATCCCTTTTTCTCTTAAATATTTGGATGAAAATATTGATGTAAAAACAAACCCTAACCAGAAAAATAGTGAGGGAGACAGTGTTGTACTGCCGTTTCATCAAGAAACATCTGCTGCCTTCAAGAGTAATGATTCTGATGAATTTTACTCTGACAGACCAATTGACATCCAATTGGAATTTTCTAAAGGGATCACAAAAACTAAGGATTGGTTAAATGATTATGAATTTTACAGAAATACTAATCAGTCAGTGAACGTGGCACCTTGGCAATTAAACTATGGCACTCCAGACAGATCTATACCTATTAGTTCAGTGCCATGTGGAGGTTGTGGTGCATACTTGCAGTGTCAGGTAGATTTAACATTCCTCTGTTTCCAGCCATTCTATAATGTGTCACACATTTTAATTTGTTTTTGATTTTATTATTAGGATACTGGTATCCCAGGCTATCTTCCAAGTGAATTTATCAAACACTGTACAAAAGCGGAGCTTCGAGCTATCAAATGTCAGCGTTGCCACTTCCTTCAGCAATACAACATGGCCCTCAATTTAAATGTGTCACCTGATGACTATCCACGCCTTTTATCACACTTAAAAAATGAGCATGCACTTGCTGTATTATTGGTTGATCTCGTGGACTTTCCTTGCAGTCTTTGGCCAGGGATACTTGAAATTGTAGGTTAGTGAAGTAATGTGTTACAAATAATTACTTATTACCGTATGTACTAAAGCATTTTAGTAAGCTCTATCCTACTTTACCTAAAGCATTTTTATATGATAAAGTTGTCGTCCATTATTTGTTTCATTGTAAGAGTGGTATTTAATATAATGAAGATATAATTAGAAAACAAAAGTAAATAAATTATTTCTGTTTTAGTAAAGGTTACATTTTATATTATTTGGGGTTTAAAAGAGTAAACATTTTTCTGATTTTTATGATTATTTCTTGTGTAAAGAGAATTGTATTTGAAGTTACTTTGTGATAAGGAACTCAGATTACAGACTTGTTAAAAATTAACTGTTGGGATGTACTGATATCATTTACGAAAGGAAGAAGTTGGGGTATATATGTTGTAAGAATGTGATAATATTATTATTAATATTGATGCATGATTATCTAGAATAGCAAGTCAACATATAATATTAAAAATAAATGTTTAATGTACAATGTTTTGCTTTTTTGCATAGGAACAAAACGACCAGTAATTGTCGTGGGTAACAAAGTTGATCTTCTCCCAAGTGATTGCTCACAATTTTTGTCATATGCCAAGGAATGGTTATGGAAGGCTGTGCAGAGAACAGAATTAGCAAGTGCTAATGTTAAAGATGTGATGCTTGTAAGTGCACAAACTGGTTTTGGAGTAGAAGAGCTCATCACAAAAATGCATATGATATGGGGATATGAGGGTTTGTATTTAATTTCTTTATTTATATGACAGTTGAAAATTTGTCTATTATTGTATTGAAAATGGAGCTGGAGGGAGTTATTTTCATTTTTTTAAAGAAATAGAAAAAACAGTTGTTCTTATGGAGATTTTTTTGTTTCCATGTCATGTATTATAACACCAACATTAATACAGTTATTGTAATTTTATGAGAATTTTGAGAAAGAAATATAATAATATATAGGTTGATGTTATTTTAATTTTTACATCTATAAGTACAGGGACAGACAACATAGGAAGTTATGTTTTATTAAATAACTGTATAGGACTTTCCAAGCTTCCCATAATGATTTTAAATTTCATGTTCTTTTTTAAACATTTTTTCCCCCTTCAAAGAGCTTATGCTAGAATTCTGAGTATTATTTAAGAAAAAAACCAAGAAATGGAAATTGAAAATCTAAATGTATTCAGTAGGTTTGTCATTATTTTGACAAGCTTTTTTTTTTCTTCTCCATCCCAAGTTTTATTAGTGCAACAACCTTATTTTCAATTATTTTAACTTAAAAAGTAATGCTTCTGTTCTTTAAGGTTCTCTAAATATGAATAATGTCAAACCAGAAGATTTATGTACACAGCTGTTGTTACTAAGATTCAGTTACTACGCACCCAGATTCAAAAGTACACCACTGCAGTGAGAACACACTACGACACTCCCACAGCTTTCCATTACAAAGAAAAGCAAAATACACTATGACTATTTCAATATTATTTTCAGATTTAGTGACCCTCAAAACTTACCTATTCCAATTCTTGAGTTAAAATTATTTTTAAAATACAAAAGTTATGTTCAATGTTCTGCAAACATGCAAAAACGAATTAATTGTATTCTAAATATTCATCTTTCTGCCAAAACAAACTATAGTATTTAAATGTTTATTGAGTGGCCAACTGGTTTTTAGAACATTAAATTATTTTTATTAGGATTAGAGTAAGATAAAATAAAATTCAATCTAGCCAAGACGACAGCTTCTCTAGAGTATATAAAAGTATTGGTGCGTATGAAATACAAGAAATTTTCAAAATGAAGGAATGGTAGTTGAAATGTGTGAAATACAAAAAAATTTCAAAATGAAAAGATGTAAGATATGTTTTGTCTTGCATAAATTACATCATTATAATGTAATGTATTATATAAATTACAATTACAGTTATTATTATGTGCTCTTGAAAGCAATATTTAGTGGTGTAGTAGGTGTCTAAAAAATTATTACGTTATTATATCATTTTCTGTGTCTGAGGGCAATTTTGGAAGAAATTCATTAATCGAATGATGAGAATTAGCATTGAATTAGCATTAGCCCTCTCCTCTTCAGTTCTCGATTCTCCCTCCAAAAATTCCCATTCAAAAATTTGGAATATTTCTTTTCATAATTTATTAAAGCTATCTTTCATTTTTATATTCTGAGAATTTATTTTGTTTAAACAAAATATTTTGTAGATTATTAATGAAAAATATGTACACATGTTGAATTCAATGTTTTTGCACGCTAAAAATTAATCTATTTTCACATAGCACTTGTACCAAGAAACATTTTATTTAGTAGAATCCTGACCTCTGTTTTACTTTTTCGAGTACTTCATAAGAAGAAACATTATTGTAATTATGCCAGGAAAAAAAGGCAAATTTAAAGCAAAAACACTTATTGCTGGGCCCAAAATTGAATAAATCATGTTCCTACAGAAGTAAATTACTTTATCTGTCATATAGACTAGTCAGAATCCATGTTTTGTGGGTCCTTGATGCCGAAAAGATGTTTGATATCAAACTCTCCATCTGTCCATCTGACGGAGGAAACTGACGAGTTGTAACTGAAGGGAAATGAATGACAGGAACTCAGCACGATATTATTAATATACACCTGAATCAAAAATAAAACAGAAATGATTCCATTGCACTCTGCTCTTGATCTGCTTCATGTCAGAGTGCGTTTGTCTCTCTGCTATGAGGCATTTGTATATCTCTTGATTTTGATCCAAATACTTTAAACACAAGAAGTGTTGTGTTGAGAATGACTGACAGGTCATAATTGAAAGTTTTGTATCACAGTGAATACTGTGCCACTTAATCAGAGATGTAAATACTTTGTTCTTATGGTGGTATTTTTGGAGCCATGCATATTTTACCTTAAATGCAGATTTATTTTAAAAAGGGGTTCCACTAAATTGTGGTTTCAGTGTACTGAATGTACTTTTCAACTTTTGTTTTTAGATTCTCTTATTCTTTATCTTTTTGAAATTTCACTTATTATGATGGGAGGTGAAGCTTAAATAAGGAGCACAAGGTGACCTGACATGACAGAAATTGAGTTCAACTGTTTTTACCTAGAATTTTATTTCCAGAACAAATGTGAAACGTCTTACAATAGGCCCTACAATAAGTAGGTTTACTCTATTCATTGAGTTGTATACAGTATTTATCAATGTAAAATTTGTGCTACTTTTTAAAAAATTTTATTGAACTTTTTAAAAATTGTTATGTTTGCTCCTCAAATTGAATTCAATTATAAATAAAAATAAATTGTTTGCTAGGCGATGTGTATTTACTTGGCTGCACGAACGTGGGGAAATCCACTCTCTTCAATGCACTACTACAATCAGACTATTGTAAAGTGCAAGCTGTGGATATCATGCAGCGGGCAACCACTTCTCCTTGGCCAGGAACAACACTCAACTTGTTGAAGGTATAAATAAAATAAAATGTTAATATGTGATTTATAAAATGGCAGAGATGTGTAGTTAAATGTGGATTCAGAACCTCCTTGTACATCGTCCCTTGGTATCGATACAATGCTTCCAAAAGTAATTTGAAGGGTCATAGATTTGCATAGTTTTGAATGCTCTAATTTAAATTAGAGCATTAATACCATTTAAAAATATCTTCACCCAATAAACCAGCTAATTTTCAAGGTGTTCATATTAATTCTTCAAAATGAAATATCTTTTTGGGATATATTAGTTATCAGAATCACTGTGAGAGTTAATATTGAAGTCTAATAACTTATTGTTTAATATATTACTATCACAACCTTGAATTGTCAGTCGCTAATGAAATTTTTAGAGCATTAAATAGACTATTTTGTTTGTGTGCCGTCCGAAACTGGCAATTGATAACAAAGTTCAGATAACTAATATTTGTCTTCCCGGGGCAGTTGTTAAAGGTTGAACAATTATGGATAGAGGATTATATTATGTGGTATGTGATTGATTGCCTGTTCTTGTTGATAAGAATTAAAAGCTCAAAATTAGAGCTCACTGCTCTTGCAAATTTAATGTTGCAAATAATTTTTATGATTGGCATCAATGGAAATTAATTCATTGTGAGCTGATTAAGTTTCTAAGTCTACTAATTATTCTTGGCTAAGAGAAATTTAATGCAAAAGGAAGAGGAATTCTTTTACTTTGCTTTCCTTCTTTAAATTTTTTGAAACCATACTTGCAAGGCATTTATTAATTCTATTTCCAATTATTTAATACCATTTGATATTTTTTCCTTCTGAAAGTTTTTATTTCCAGTTTTCAGAATTTCTTTTTTTGTACTCTAAGGTGTATGAAACTAAGAGAAATACTGAAAAATAAACAACTAAGAGATTTATTTTTTGATTTTTTCATTACATAGTTCCCCATTTTGAGAGCTGATGGTTGGCGATTGTACCAGCGAGTAGATCGTCTGCAGGCTTTACAACGTAAGCAACAAGCAGAACGTGAATTACTTCGCCAGCAATTGAAGAAGAAACACAACCCTCGTGCAGCCACCCTCATTGGTAAGACATCATCTTTTTAACTTGATGGTTTTCATTTTGAACTTTTACAATATTTTTCTTCTTAGTACTTTTAATAAATAATACAAGGATTTTTACAAATATTGGAAAGGGAAAATTATTAGTATACATTGGATGAGTTTGACCACAGAGTTTACTTTTGTGGACACCAGTGTACAGAAAATTTTTGAATAAAAACAGTCACATTATGTAAACTTCAAAGTTTTATTTTTTGTTAACTATAGTTGATGAGTGACATTTCAGAGACATGAATTTTTTCCCAACTTCAGGCTGCAATGAAGATAATAGAAAACATAATTTTTTTAAAAGAATATAAATAACAAGTTACTGATGTTAAAGTAAATTATACAATTACAATGAAACACTAGCACTCAATGTAAAATAACATGTGAAGACTCACCATTTTGAACAACAAAGGATCATTAAAACGTTAAACTAAATTGATAAATAAAAATGTACATCAGGCAGTGCAAAAGCATGTCTGCTTTACAGTTACAATAAGAGGATTAAAATGAACCTTATAGCAACAATTGTCTGAGTCAATTGTGTGGTAGTAGAAAAGGGGGCAGGGGGGGGGGTGGTAAATGAAATGTAAAACAAACGGACACATTTTTTGGGGTTTCCAAAATGCATCAGAAGAAATTATTATTTTTAAAATGACAACTTTCATTAAAAAGACAACCATTAAAAAGACCAAAAATAAAAGAACTGTGGCAATCAACCATATGAAGAATTATTTTTCTAAAAATTTCAGTAAACAGAATCATAAAGACGCATGAAAGTATTTGATTCCACCTGCGTGTTGTGACAATGTTCTCATATGAATCATTTCCAGAACCAACCTAGAATAATAAAAATGGGAAATTATTTTTTTCTTCGGAACTATGAGTACTTTATTATGTTTTTAGATACATAAAATCAATAAAAATTATAATATGCTTTAATATGCAGTATTAGATACATGGTCTAATAAACAATATTACTAGGTCAAAGAGAAATCTGACAGAAATATTCGACACCGGAAATTAAAGGCTTATTAACCGAAGTGTAGTGATTTGTAAATGTCGCAACGACACTTCCACAAGTCCCCGCCATCCTTGTTGTTGTTGGATGAAGGGTGGGAAATGGAATTTCTACTGTAAGAAAAAATGCGAAGTTTACATTTCCCCCAACTCAGTAAAATGTTGGTTTGTGCCAGTTTTAAATGATTTCGAACAAATATTATTAAAATTTATTAATGAAATAATAGAAAGAGGGTTCATGAAACGAATTTACAGTTCAAAACTTACGAAGAATTCCATACTTTGATTATTGAGCTATTAAAGGATGGCAAAAAAAATGCGTTTATTTTATAGCGAGAAAGTGTGAAATTGTAAAGGAGTATGATGTAAAATAAACAAACTAGCGTGACGTCACCTCTTTTAGGCGTGTGTCAAATGCGCGTTTCGTTGACGCGCCAATACGGATGACGTCAGCTGCGTCGATGCCTTGCAGTCGTCACATAACGCGCGTCATAGATGGACACTATCTTATGCGAAATGGCAGACAAGCGCTCTTGGCGACGTGCGTTATGTCCACAGCTCAAGCAAAACGATCAAGCTACAGCATAAATCAAGGTCAAGTGCGTTTTCTAGCTTTGAACTCGCGACGCCCGCTAGGCGACGAACCTTGGCAACAACGCACGTCGCCAAGAACACTCGTGTGCCATTTTGCATAAGATAGTGTTAATCTACCTCGCGCGCGTGTGCAGGCATTGACGCAGCTGGCGTAATCAGCTTTAGTCGACGCGCGTCAACGCAACGCACGTGTGGCACTGACCTTACGATAACATACCAAAGCACGTTGGTAATTTTTTCTTGTTTTAAAATATCTCAGTAAAGTGACGAAATGTACAAATTTGTATAGACCTTGCTGCTTAATAATGATTGTCACTATATTAAAATTTTCAAGTCTTAATGTAACATTTCACAACTCTATTATCTCAAACCATTTCAATAGCCTTTCAGTGACGGCCATTTTTAGCGCGGCAAGGTAGTGGGAAAATGCAACGACAGTGCCCATTGTGCGCAATAGGAGTGCATTTCCGATGGTGTTGGGGCAAACAGACTGTTGTGAATTGCGGGAAATTTGAAATTAGACTATTGGAAATGCGGGATATTCATAACATTATGAATATACGAAAACTGATGGGACCGACAAGAAATGTTGTAAATGTCGGAAAACGTAAATTGCAGGAACGTAAAAACGAGATTTTACTGTAATAACATTCCCATTCCATATAAATTAAATTAATGGAATGTGGGAGGTGACAACTTATTGGCCGTATTGACTAAATTCATTATTACAGACTTTTTTCTTAGATATAGGATGAAAAGACAAAAAGTTTAAGGTAATTCCTGCATATATTAGCTCGATGTACCAATGTATGGTAATGCTATTGTTATTACGAAAGATGGTAACAAACAGAAAAGTTATTTGGGAATCCACTTCAATGGTAAACTGAATATTTGAGTCATACTGGTTGAAACTATTCAACAGATAATCAATAGCATCATATGGCAAAAAGATGAGGTACACTAACAGTAATAAACAATATTGCCATCTACCCATTCAAAAATTTGTAGAGTAGAGTGTGTAACTGCAATAGTTCCATCACTATAGTCAATCTATGGATGAAATCTGCAATATTGCAGTTGCCAAATACATTTCTGTCAACCACAATTCTGGTTACTGGCAGAGTATAGTAGCTCTGACTCAAGGAGGATGATCATGAAATTTCATCTCGCTCAATGATCATATACATTGAGTTCATGATCAACACACGTTTGTTAAGGACCATTTTGCCAGCAAGAAAGCGATGGTGGTAAATGATATATTGAAGAGTCTAATGCCAAAAACCTAGAGCTTAGCTAGAGCTATGAGAAGAGAAAGCTTCTGGTTTTGGTCTTCACATCTGCCCCTCCCATCTATGGAGCTCTAGTTTAGGTCATCTTTGCAGTCACAAGGAATTGCTTAAATCCACATGCTATCTGTGCTTTAAGGATAGCATGATGGCTCATGATTTCAAAGGCAATTTAGAAGACGTGTCGAAAGACTAAACTACATGGAATTACAGGAGGAATGGTAGCACCAATGGGTCTCATCCACCAAGGGAAGACACACCCAATCCACACGTGCACATACACATGTGCATGAGTGCATGTGGCGTATTGTTTCAAATATTTATGCTTCTAAATATGCTGCCAAGATAATGATGTTTTCTTCGAGAAAATTTAGAATTATAATGAACATTTAAAATATTATTACCTGCTTTGTAGCATATTAAATATGATTGCATATTAAAGTTTAGTTTCCATTTAGGTCACATTGGTTGCACATTTGAGGATATGACCAATATTTCTTCTGGAAAAGATCCATTTTCATTGAGAATCACGGAATCTGGTCATGTGAAGTTACCAGGTTTGGATCCAAATCACAAGGATTTTGTTAAGGGCAAGTGGTGTTATGACACTCCAGGGACGATACATCCCGATCAGGTATGTAATTTATTTCTACTGTGAATTGTTTTGTAATAAATCAAAGACTCGATCGTCAATAAAATCAAAGACTGGATGATTCGACCTAATAAATCAATTGCAAATAAACATCAACTTAACTGAACTTAAATCTAAAAACATACTATTGATTTCAAACTGTTTTTTGCCCATTGAATGTCCATTCTTAAAAAGGAGTAATAAAAATAACAGATTCCCTTTTTATAACATTTATTTCAACTTTGGATACAATGAGATCATTTGTTTCAGGGTTATTTCTTGTTCATTATTACAGCAGGTTTATTGCTTCTGTTACAGATTATTGATATTTTAACTGCCCAAGAGCTAATTCATTTGCAGGCCAGCGAGATGATTCTACCTCGAACCTTTAGCCTTTTATCTGGGGATTCCATACTGATTGCTGGACTAGGACGGTTAGATTTTGAAGGTGGTGCAGAGAAAGCTAAGTAAGAAACATTATTTTGATTAATAAATTAATTTTAGGGAAACCTAAAATTCTTGAATATTTTAACTGAGGGTCAGAATTTTAAAATGTAAAAGTGCCAATAATATGCAGATGGTTTCTATGTAAAAAATGATTGGTATAATTTTTTAAATTCAGCCATATTTCATAAAAAATCTTGGTTATCCATGTTACCACCTTTCAACTCACCACTTTTACGGAGTGACCTTTATTATTTAATCCAGTCAACTTTGACTCTTTTCAGTGTTGTCAGTTTTATCAATTTTTATGATTAATAAGGAAGAGAGCAAGGAATTGTAATCTATGGAGAACAACTATCATCCCAGAAATGGCGTAGCAAGCGCTAAAGCGAGTTCATGCATGATGACAATATGATTGCGATAGTTTATACTCCAAACATAATTTACAAGAGACATGCCTGATTTATATCTTGAGATTATTTCTTTTCAAATGTGTTTCTTTAGTTTATATTTAGAGTTTGTAATAACATAATAGATAAAGTACAAATCGTCGTACCGATGGCGCCGAGAGTACGCGATATTTTCAGTGGTAAACCTCTCACCAAAGAACAACGCAGAGGCCGGCGGCCTTCAATAAATGACCGAGAGCAGCGGTGATTACGGAGAGTTGTAATTGCGAAAATACGAGCAACGTTGCATGAAATAGCCGCAGAAATCGATGTGGGTCGTACGACGAACATAACCATTAGGATAATGGGGCGAAATTTGGCTTTAATGGGCTATGGCAGCAAAAGACCGACGCCAGTGCCTTTGCTTACAACACAGCATCGCGGCAGCGCCTCTCCTGAACTCGTGACCATATCGAGAGGACCCTAGACGAATGGAAAACTTGGTGAGATGAGCCCCGATTTCAGCTGGTAAGAGCTGATGGTAGGGTTCGAGTAACTTGGCACAGAACCCTCGAAGCCACGGACCCCAAGTAGTCAACAAGTCTCTGTGGAAGCAGATGGTGTGGGCTGTTTTTACATGGACTGGACTGGGTTTCCGGACCAACTGAATCGATTATTGACTGCAAATATTATTGTTCTGCTACTTGGAGACCATTTGCAGCCATTCATGGAGTTCATGTCCCAAACCGGTGGGATTTGTATGGATGACTATCGTCAAGTCACCGGTTCACATTTGTTCACGATTGGTTTGAAGAACATTCTGAATGATTCGATTGAATGATTGACCGCCTAGACAACCCGACATGACTCCCATCGAACGTATGTGAGACATAATCGAGAGATCAGTTCGTGAACAAAATCCTGCACCGCCAACGCTTTAACAATTACGGACGGCTGTAGAGGTAGCATAGGGAACTTCCAGCGACTTCCAGCGACTTGTGGAGTGCATACCATGTCGAGTTCTTGCACTTCGCGGAGCAAAAGAAGGTCCGACATGATATTACCAGGTATTCCGTGGCTTTTATCGTCTCGGTGTATTAAGCAACTAGTTTATTATATTAAGCTTTATTGCATGTTAATTTTTACTTTGTCGCTACTGGGTAGAGATGAAGTTGTGTAATGCTGCGCAGAAAACGGTGTATTTTCGGCAGAAAACCTCTTTATTATATGTTCCCGGTAACAAAAAAGTGGATAAATCCAGTTGCTAAATTTAGGGAGAAAAAACATTATCTAACAAGTAGTGAAGCTAGAATCCATGTTTTGTGGGCCCTTGATGCCATAAAGTCGTATGACGGCAAACAGTCTGTGTCCGTCCGCCCTTCCGTCTTTGAACAACGTTAGTGGCTAAACCGTTTAGCCGATTTTCTCCAAAATTGATATTCCCCAATAGCCCCTTGAATTTGAAATCGGTATTTTTTTGGAGGGGGTCTTTTCTTGCATCCCCCCGGGACATTTTTCCCAATTTTCAAAAAAAAAGTCTCCATTAATTTTGGTTAAATTTTGTTCTTAGATTGTGTGAAGAATGTTTAAGGGAATGGTATTCGTTAAAACTAATTTTTTGAAAATTGTAAAAATTAAATAAGTTTCGGAATCTTCCTACACCAAAAATATTGAAGATAAGGATTTTTCCCTTAATGAAATCTGTTTCTTAACGATAGATTTTGGGAAAAGGTCATGTAGGGTTTTTCGAAAGTTTGAGTGCTTTTCGCGTAATTTTGTGTGAAAATACGGGCAAGAAACGTGTTGTTTTAGCACCACTAGGTAAATATAAATAAATATAATGCTGCTTTTTGGAATACTTGATTGTGACGTCACGGGTGTTCCGAACGAAGAATCGTGGTCGGATGTTAGGAGTACCGCTGCCTATCCACGATTCTCGTGCTGCGATTACGCTGAATGTGTGATGTAATTATTTGTGCCGTAAATGGCAAATAGGTCATAATCTGTGCCATAAGATGTCATCTTATGAACGATTTCTTGCTCGAGAGGGCCGTTACACCCGAGACGCAGCGTGTCCGAATGGATTCACCGGCTTAGAAGGCTCAGGGCATCAATTGATATCACTGCCGTGCCTCTGACCGGGAGGTCCTAGGGTACCAGTCCCGACACCGGCTGGGTTTTCGACACTAGCTACATTGCTGAGACTCGTTACACTACCACGCATCTCGGGACACCAGTCGGGACCATAGAGCCGGCTGTGGCGATGCGCCGCTGATGGGAGATACCTGGTTGGCGAAAAACCCGCAAGCCAACGGATATGTCGGCGCAGTATCCAGAGGGGGAAGATCGCTGTCACCTACCGTGATAAAACCATGCAATACACTTACTGGCCGCCGTGTTGCTTGTAGAGCGAGAAGTGTTGAGGAACATTTTGAAAGTGGCATTAAGTGACAGCTTTCAACGATAAATAACACGAAGGTGTAATTGAAATGTAAAAAAATACAATATTTAAATAAATGTGCTTCATTCATCTGTTTCAATGAGTTAAACCATGTGGTAATCTTGGCGTTTAAAAGTCCCGCTAATATTGTGACACAAATTTGTGCCTGAAACACATTGGCTCAAGTCGGATACGACACGCAATGACTCTCCCATGCCTTTCCATCATGGTACAGCGCTCCTAGGGAGCTGGCGCTGAGAGGGGTGAATAACCCCAGTTCTGGCCGTGAAAACTGCGAAGGCGCGCCACGGAACGTGGAGGCACCGGCGGAGGTCCGTGGTTCGGAATCACTCTCGCTGGTTCACGACGGAGGTGGGCCGCTGGCTCACGATGGAGGTGCATACGAAGTCTCCGACGCTCCTTGAGGTACTGGCATTACACACACACATTTTCGGCCTCTCAATCTGGTACGACTGGGTCATGCGCCCTGCCTTACGTGCGCCATAGGCTGTCAAATGTTTTAGTGCCCCTTATACTTTCCTGCGTATATACGGAATAATATAGGTAGTATAGGCAAAGTTATGTAATGCTGCGGAAAATCGATTTCGAGATTTCAACGGAAATTCATGTTTGGGTTCTCCTGATACCGCGAAAGTGTTTGTATTTTCAACACGTCCGTCTGTCCGGGCTCATGTTGAAGGTCTGAGATTTTGTAAAACTCTTTGAAATTTGGGGGTACATTACATGAAGCCTTCCGGACATTTTCAAAAATTTCTCAAAAACGGCTACTATTTTTTTCTGTAAATTTCTTGTAGGAATACAGTAAAATACTCTAATATAGGTGTATTAAGACCGATTTTCAAAGTTAACTTTAAATTTGCAAAAGTTTGCATTTTTCCATGTTTAGTTCTTTCAATAATATCCTGCACATACAATTTTTTGAAAATTTTAGTAGTTTTCGAGCATGCAATATTTGCGATTTTAAAAAATACAAAAAGAAGATTTTCTCAAAAATATCTTCAAAGTTTTTCTTTAAACTTTTGGTAGAGATAGTTCCAAATGCACTCTATAAGATGACATACCCGCCAAATTGCTTTATTATTTTGTTTTTTCAAAAATTACGAAAATGTAGTTTTTTGACTTGTCTCTCACGTCGTTAATATTTACATTAGCAGCAATTTGTTCACACTAATGTATTAATGAGTATATGTGCTTTACATAATATCAGATAAAGTTTCTCGAAAATTCAAGTTTTCTGTAAAAATGTTCTCAAAATTTCGCATTTTCAGAAACACTCAACTTCATTTTCTCAAAAACCCCTCCAAATTTTGTCTTCAAACTTTTCAATGGATAGTGCTAATTGCACTGTTTAATAAGACATAAAATTAATTTTGCTGTATCTTTTTTCTCAAATTTCACTAATGTATTTTTTTTTAATATCTCTCATGCCTTTAATATGCATATTCTCAGCCATTTGTAAACACTGTTATATGAAGTTTTGCGAAAACTCAATAATTTTCTGTGAAAAGTGGTTCAAATATCGAATTTATAGCAGCCCTTAAACGCCATTTTCCTAAAATTGTCCAAAAAAAATCACCATTTAGGAAGGGTTTTACTGTTCTTTCATAATTTTAAAATAATATTTCTGTTCTATTGTAAGTAAACCGAAAGATTGAGAACATTCCAAAGAAAACTTGTACTTTGGGTGACGATTAATGGCAGCTGGCAAGACCATGTGACAAATCCCAATAGCTAGCTAAGGTCATAGAAAATAAAAAAAACTAATATGGGAAACTAATATGTGCCATTCTGTAGCTCCACTAGTTATGCTGAGCACCAAATGATCAGAATATTTTGAACTTTCAATTGCCTGTAAATGTTACTCGAGGAAGCTTAACATTACCTGCAGTCTCGAGAGCTTCCCTTAATTAACCACCAGCTAATTACGCAACGTTACCCGGGTATTTATCACCATCATCTGTTAAGCAGCCCCCCTAATTTGCTGCGTCCTCTTCCCCTTCCACTCCCTTTTTACCCCGCTCACTTCGCCCGGTCTGCATTCGCTTCGCGCCGCAGCAATGCCGTCTAGATACATTTCGTATTGCAGTATCCTACATTTCCTAAAACTAATTAGCATACTTTTTAATAACATTTAGAATTGCAGCATTGGTTTTTGCGGGGTATCTCGAAAGTATTTGGGGGGAAAATTTCGAAGCAATTCAATTTTTGTAGAACATATATTCATACACACGCGGTCATGTTAATGTAATACATAAGCCTCTTCATTTATTTTTAAAGAAAATGTTGGAATCCAAATGAGAAAGAAGTTTTGATGTCGCATTAAAGCAGTGGCGGCTCGTGCTTAGGTTGCACAATCCCCAGATATAATCGAAAAAGAGCTCTTAATATCTTAGGAATATAAATGTTCCTTTTAACGACATTCATTATTCAAGATATTGCAGCAATATTGATGTACATGAAATCGTTTTGAAACCAAAGAGCGTCCAACTGACATTCTCTCCGGTGCCTGGTGCCTTACCAGGTATTGCACCACGCTCTTGGATTTCGGCTGTATTACTTGGTTTACTGCATTTACTCTTTGGCCCTCCGATTTAACACGGGCAACATACGGCCTTTTGGTTGTGCAACCAGGCGGGTGGCTCTGTCTAGCGCTGCGCGGCGACGGAAGGAGTCTCGGGCGAATACCAAAAGTCTATCTTTGTCTGACTCGCTGCAACGTAATCTATGAATTTCGCTTCTTATTAAAAGTACACAAGTTCAGTCAATTATTGATGTCATTTAATGCATTATTGTTAAGCGATTTTTTTTTCATTTGATAATAGATTTACTGATTTAAAATGTACACTTGATGAATTCTTTGTGTAAAGTTGGCCGATCTGGAAGGAAGTCTCTTTCTCGTGTGTTATATTTTCGATAAAAAATAATTTTATTTGTGTGAATCTTGTCCAAGCAATTGTGCTTGTCGTTGTCGAAGCAAATGCGCTGGAGTCGAACTTAAGGCTCCAGTGGTAATCAAAGCCCGAACCTCGTGCGCGGGAGGTGTATAATATGCCTCACTCGGACACGACGCATAAAATTATGAAAGTAATGATTCAATACAGACTTAAATGTAACTTAGTTTTAGTTATTTTGAATTTTTATTATATTTTCGTATTTTGAATATTGTAAATTACATTTCCGTCATTCGATGTAGATACAGCCTCGAATCTGTTGGGCACCAGGCGCCACTTCATGAGAGATATAACGTGATCTCATTTCAAAACGATTCCTTGTTGACAACATCCTTCTTTCAATTCAGGCATTCGTTGAGCGGGTAACATGAAAAAGACGTGTTTTGTAATTTGTGTTTTTCAACAGATTTACAGTGTTTGCAGCGAGCACTCTCCCTGTTACTGTTTGTCGCACAGCCGATGTTGATCTGGTTTATGAATCTTTGGCTGCTTCTAATTTGCTGGTAGTACCCAGTTTCCAACCAGAACGTCTCAGCCAATGGCCAGGTCTTACCTCATATCCACAGCCTTTTGAAGTGACTGGAATTGGTAGAGAAAGTGCAGCTGATGTTGTTCTCTCTTCAGCAGGTGGGTGCAGTCTACTATTTTTTAACTTTTTCATTTATTGTGTAGTAAAAGAAAAGTATTGTAGTGATGCAGCGAAAAACCTTCTAGTTTTGACCGAAAAACTCGTGTTTTTGGTCCAGACATCAAAAAGTGGCTAATTCATGCTCAAGAACATGAAACCCGTATTTTCAATTCTTTTTCAAAATGGCTCACGATTTTTGGATAGAGCAAAGCATGCTTGTAAAAATGGCGCTGGTTCGATTTTCGTTTCGAAAATTCTCTGAAACTGTGAAAATTGTAAAAGTTAATTTTTTGCGTCTTCCTACAGCAAAAATAAAAACAATAGATATTTTTAAAATCTCGCATATTTCGTACGCAGTATAAAGAAAGTATTGTAAAGCTGCGGGAAAACGGCGATTTGTCAACAGAAAAGCTCGTATTGCCTGTAAAGGAAAAGTGAGTAAATTTCCCTTATGTATGTAGTAAATTACTTCCTCTAACGTCGTGTAGTAAGAATTCACATTTAGTGGGTCCTTGATACTGAAAAATCGATTGATGGCAAAACGTCAGTTCGTGAACAACGCTGACTAAACCGTAAGTAGGATTTTCACACTTTACGAAACCTTAAGTTGGGAATATAAATTTTCAGGAACATTAATATTCCCCGATCGTTCTCACTGATGTCGCGGCCCTCGATTATAAACAACTATTTTGATTTTTTGGATTTTCTTTACTTGAAGCCTCAACATCATTTTCAAGGTTTTCTAAAAAACAGCTCAAATGTTTTCCTCTTAAATTTTCCCCTCTAATAGAGTAAGCAAAAGCCACTTAAAGAAATGGCCTAGGTCACATTGAAAACAATGGATAAAATTAAACTATTGAACTCAGATTTTATATATATTAAAAGTGAACAAAAAAAATTGTTATTTCATTTTTAATATGACCCGGAGATTTTCAGAAGTAACCCGGAGCCCGGAGATCATCCTGAAACCCATAATCTCCGGGTCAAACTGGGAGATGTGGCAACTCTGGAAAAGACGATATCTTGCCACTGGCTTTTAAATTGTATATGTTAATTCTTGGAACATCCAATAATAAAATATGCAATAATATGCACTATTATTGCGTTCTGGTATTGCAATTATGACCTAAGTTAGCATAGCCCTAAGTTAGTTAAATGATATAAACTGAAGGCGGACTTCTTAATTACAGTTTATTATAATTGCAAGTATTATTATACTGTTGATTATTGCAAGAACAGGGCTATTTTACATTTTCTTTATTCGATCGGTCTCCTGCCGATTTGAAAATATTTTTATATAGGTTAATTACATTTGTTTCAATAACTGAATTAAGCATTTTTAGGTTTTGCATTATCTCGTGGAACCAAAAGTATCGATGAAGACTACTAACGACTTCAGGAGACCCATTGGGATGCAAATTGGCGAGTTCCCAGGCATGAATCCACAAAAAAAATTCACTAACTGTACTCTGATCGCCGCGTTTTTTAACTGCTTTCGCGAAAGCTACTGTGTAAAGGGAAAATTTATGAGAAATAGTTTCTTGGGAATTTTGCCGGTTTTTATTGTGAAAGAAGTAAGAACTTCGCTTCGAATCGAAAGGTCAGTTGTTTATTCCCAAATTTCATAAGCCTTGGAGCCAAGAATGAAATTGCAAGGAACCGTTCTTTTCTAAAAAATACCTACGGGCATTCTCAGCCTCCTATTATTCTGTAAGTGGAGGATATAATAAAATGACACTTGTTATTTTAGTCTAAGACACGCCTAAAATTGTAAGTGTTTGCGTGAACTAGCACCATTCCTCCGTGCTAGCATTACGAGTCTCTTGCCATCTGTATCTGCACTGAGAAATTTCATCAGTCAATCCAAATATTTAATGCTATTTTGTGTTCTAATTTAATAGATTATTTTACATATAATTTCCTAGAGTTCATTTAAAACTTAAGTCATTAAAATAATGTAGAAATGTAGTTCCATATGCTAAGTAGTTTTAAACAATTTTCATGTTTTGATTTAATTTTTCTGGAGAAATAAACATTTATTAACATTCGATATTAATTCTAGATGTATGCTCGTAATTTTTCAGGTTGGATTGCAGTGACACCTGAAAAAGGATTTACTTGTGTGTTGAGAGCGTGGACACCCTTTGCGCGAGGCATTCACTTCCGTCAACCCGCTCTATTACGTTTCTCTGTTTGCCTGCGTGGAAGAAAAGTTGGGAAAACTCCAGCATTCTTAATAGGTGAAGCTGTTAGAGTGTAGGAAACCAAACTCTTATAAAGAAGAAAGTGGATGAAAAATGGCCCAATAAATGACCCTTTGTTTTGATCCAGTAAAATCTAAGCAATAATGAATGTCTGTGACAGAAAATACAGATTGTAAAATGTATGGGTCTGTGGAGAGGTAATGTATCAGCCAAGAGATGTATGCTCACTCTGTGTCAACAAATATGTAGTTCCACTCTACAGATTAGGAACAAATGCAGATAATATGACTGTTTTTATATGTGAACATTAAAAGTGAAGAACAATTATTTTTACTTTCTGCTCGTTATGTAATTTTAGTTCTAAACCTGTTTAGTCTCTTACTTAATGTTTATGTTCTGTATTATTATGTATATTATCATGAAAATACAGTTCTTTTGTTTGTTGTTTAAAAAATTATTATTTTCAATGTTCCACTGTTAAATTTTCTTCCATCCTAGTTCATACCCTTTTGAAATTCTAGACTATAAACCATTGATTTTTAATACTCCTTGATTCACGAATTTTTTCCTGCAATTTTTTTCTTAATGTGTTAGTTTGGGTGAAAATAATATATTATTATTATTATTATTGTTTGCGTGTAAGCCAATTTTTACCACGCTACACGTCCTCTTTCGTTGCCCAGTCACATGATATTCCAGAAAGACATAAACATGTGTCATTATGGATCAGTTTTTGGCTGTATCCATTGGGAAGAGAAGGTTGTTCAGCCTTGAATTACGAGATGATGGGATGGTGAGAGGTGATCGTGGCATATTTGAACCATTCTAGGATATGCCTGTATGACCCAGGGAATTAGGGTGGTAATTAATTAATGTGACTTCAGGAGAGTAGTAGTTACTGTTGTTGAAAATTCATTTATTGAAACACTTTAACTATTGCAACACTTTGTGGTCTATACTATGACCTCGATTGGATTGTAAGGAAAGTCAAGTTGTTTAATCTGGAATAAGGTTGTTCTATATTTCCATCTTAAGATTTGGATGAAGCCCATCTTCTGTACAATCATGATACATTTTTATGTATGTACTCGTTCCTGAAATACCCATTTTCTTGTATTAGGAAAGACTGTTAAAGGCATGTCTAAATGTCCTAAGAAAAGTTACTAGTTTTGTTCAAAACCCATTTTTTGGTTCATGATAGTAGCTTCGACACACGGGTTAATCTAGTTGAACAAGACATTTCTAGATACCACTTCAAGCCAGGTTTTCTCGGGAGCAGCATCGATAACTTGGGTGAGTATGACCTCCGGTATTCGAAGGATGTCAGGAGGGGTTTGATATTGGGAAGGATTTGTGTGAGGTATAGGGATTGTTGCAGAAGGTTTATTTAAGGTCCTGGATTGAACGTTATGTACTGTGGTTATTGGGGTTCTTGAGTAGTGGGAGGGGTTGGTACAATAGTAGGCTTAGAACAATGTGACTGAAGGGATAGAAGGAACTGTGTTGATGATCAGGTTGGGATTGTTGTTTGTGAGGTCTAGGGATTGTTAATGAACGTTTATTTACGGTCCTGGATTGTACGTTATGTACTGTGGTTATTGGGAATCTTGAGTAGTGGGAGGGGTTGGTACGATAGTAGGCTTAGAACAATGTGACTGAAGGAGCTGTGTTGATGGTCAGGTTGGAATGCGGGTCGTTTTTTGGGATTGTTGTCTTTGTAGTCGTTCATAGGTTATGTAGGGTCACGAGGAATAGTAAGCGGAATGGTTGAGGTAGAATTTTCTGAATTTTGGTCGGAAGGAGTGTTCGGAATATTTCGGTAGGGTAGCATTGGGTGCGGTGCAAGTCGCCAGCGCACCGTTAAAAGAGCCGCCACAAGAAGATACAAGCGCCGCTCACGAGAGGGCAGTGGAAGCGGGCAATCAGCGCCGTCGCGCTTTTCTACTAAGTGCCCCAGGGCACGTCACCGGCCGTATGCCAGGGCCAGCCATCGAGCCTCCATCCCCGGCGGGCCATAAGACGGCGCAGTACAGTGAGCTTCGGAGTGATAGAGTTGGTGATTACGTGATTGGCTTGGACAGTAGACTTTTCCCCTGGACTTAATTGCGACTACAGCTGTGTAATTTTGAACATCTGCTCTGTTTATGTTAACTCTGGCAAGTCTTGGTACATCTTGTGGAAAATCAGTGAAATAGCTTCTTAACGGTTATTCTGTACCTTTGGAAATTGCAATAAACGTTTTACGATAGTACTTGTTTTGGACATTACATGCGTAGTGCGCAAACAGTAGATCTTCAGTAGTATATTTTGCTGTGTGGTCTCTTGACAGTTTCGGTATTGGAGGATCCAGTTATTCGCCTTGTAATAGTGTAAATTTCGCTCATGTCTTTCTTTCGAATTGCAATTGGATGTATAGCCAGAATTTCAATTCAATGATGCCTTATGATACGTGGGCAAGACTCAGACCAAGAAGCCTGGCCTTCCGTCTGACCACGCAAATTTCGCTACGCTTTTTATATTAACGGAGAAAGACGGTATTAGGCGGCGAAACATGCAATTTGAATTTAGTCCAGGGGCTTCATTTAAGCTTAAGGATCTGTTACATGCAGTAAATCTAGAACCTGGGACATACTACTTAATTTCACACCTCCCCAAAGAAAGGCGTACGAAGGATTTTTTCGACCTGTAAAATAAGCGGCTTCGATCGGATTTAAACCCGCGAACCTGGGTATAACAGCCCGATACGCTGTGACACCATCAACGCCTTTGTATACACCATAAAAAAACGACACAAAAAATATCTGTTGTCCGTCATTGTGTTTTTTTCTCATACGAGGATGTGTGTAATTTTGTGTTGTGTAGTCGTTTAAGTTCGGGGACAGACTTTTTAATCACGAATCGACCATAAACCTTTTTAGTTGCACGGTTGAAACGTTATGGAATTCGTGTGAAATACTGTCCTTCCAGCCTTGGACCGATCTTGATAGGTCAAATTGTTTTCCGAGACTTTGGGAAAGCGAGAAATATAGTTCGGTCTTCATTAGGCCCCCTATGTATTTTTAAACATTTATAGATCTTGTTGAATTCGCAGATCCTCGAGTTCTACCATATGTATTGGAAAATATTATTTTCGAGAAAAAATTCTGAGTTCGAATTCGGGGCTAACGTTTTTTCACAAGCAGATGTTTTTAAAACGCCTTTCAAGGACTAAAAACGCATTATTTTATTAAAATACTAATACCTATTATTTGCTGCTGTTTTGTTTCACATTACGAATAGAAAAATGATACTACAATTTCCGGACTAATTCGATCTTCCCTTATTAGGGATTTTTATAGAAAGCAATACAGATATTAACGAAGAGTGCATGGGCTGTTTAATCATATTCTGAGCAGCTCTAAATTATAAATAATTTAATACCTTGTTAATTATTCCGTATCTTTTATTATTTTCTAACATTCCATACCAGATATTTAGGTATAAAAAAATTACATATCTTTTGCTGACCCTGCTAAGCTACCGGGTAGTGTTTACTGGAGTGGCTCGAGCAACAGAAAATCATTTCACCACGTGCGTTATACTTTACTTTTTAGATAGCCTTACTGATTTTCCTTTTATTTTAATTTAAGCTCAGGAATAAAATTGAAAAAAGCGTGGGATTAGCAACATTTGTAAAAACTAGACATTTTCGTTCCCGAGTTATAGAAAACACATTTGCTTCGCCAAACAAACCCCAGATTTCATTCCTCAGTATTGCCAACAAAGTAGCAAATTCATCCCCAGCTCTACTCCTACAACTACCACCACTATAAGCAAAAGGAGAGTTCAACAAAACGTGCTCATAGAGAAGCTACATTTGTGCCCAAAAGCAAAACAAGTGGTTATTTCAGCTTTCGCTCAGTGGATCAGGGAAACTGGACAAAAACCTGATCTGAAATCTGCAGCGGTCGAGTGGACGCATGCGGACGCGTGTTATACTGGAGAGAAAGAATTGTAGCCACACGTAGGTAAAACGTAGCGGGGCTTTCGACAAGGGTTTTTCTACGTAGGGCTACAAATACCTGAGCAGGAGAATGTGCTGATCTGAACAGCGGGAGAAAATAATCCCTTCTGGAATTAGAAGTCGCCAGGATCGGAAACGTTCATCGGGGGACAGCGGCACTGATCGGACGTACGCGAAACGTATGAAGTTTTTCGAAAGGGACGTTTTTGATAGTGCGATGAGTCTATGAATCAGTTCGTCGCAGTAACAAATAGGCATCTACAAGAGAACAGCTGTGCAACAACAGGAACTATAAATATTACGCAACGTTTTAGCAAAACTCTTTTCAAATTTCTTAAAACAACCAAAAGGACAGAGTGAGATCGAGTAAGAAAGCACGTTGCAAAACTTTATAAACTGTTGCTCATATATGTTTGACGATTTAACAGAAACGTTTTGCAAATCGAGTGGCGTTTATGGTAAAATAACTGTTTGATGAATAAGGCGTACTGAAAAAATTTAAATCACGAAAACCAAATTCGGGGAAGGGGGCGCATGGATGAATTTCGCGTGTACGCGTTTCTGGGAGATACGGTGACCTGAGGAAGTGGTGCTACAACCATTGGGAATAGGACGAAGATTCTGGCGACATGGAGCAGAAAGTCTACTTCCGAATTCCTGTCAACTGTGCAGGGGGGCTCTTGAGCTTCAGACATCAGTGTGCGTCACAATATTAGCGGTTATTTTAAATGCAAAGACCAAAATTATCACACCGTTATAGGACATTGAAACAGATTTATGAAGCATTTCTTTTAAATACTAAATCTTATTCATCTTCGTCTTATTATTCGTTGGTTACCGTTGTAAACGTCATTTTGTACCACTTTTAAAATGTTTCTCAACACTACTCGGTCTCATGCAACTTGTTGGCCAGCGTCTGGTCTAGCTTTTCAAACGAAGTGTCCGTGTTGTGGTCACGTGGTTCGTAACGCAAACTGGTTTTGCGCAGAACGAGCGAAAATCGGTGCGCCGGAGGAACTCGCCCATGTATTTCCAACATGCAGCCGTCGACCGCGTTGCAGTGGCAACCACACGGTACATTCTCGTGTTCCGGGGGGAGGGGGAGGCTGAGTTACGGACGGAGCGACCTTCGTTGAAGAGGGAAGAGATACCGGCTGCAATAGAACGTTAAATATTCTAAATTTTATTCAGTGTGTAGTATGCGTTTAAAAAATGTTACTCGTAGAATCAGAGTAATAAGTGATGCAGTACAGTGAAATATTTTGGTCGAAATTCAAAATCTCCATTTTGGTCGGTCAGAGCATTTAACGGAATAATCATCGGTGATAGGATAATATTGACCATGTACATTTGAAAAGGGAAGTTGTAGATATTTGATAAAGAATTTCTTTTGGTAGGGAAACAACTGTAAATGTCGATGTAAATACGAACGATTTGTAATGCTATTTTGG